CTTGTACCAGCCAGGAGAATACGAGGGAGACAGCAGAAAACGCGCCACCGATCTGGTATGGTCCATGAAAACGTACAACATAGACCTTGTCGACATCAAAGACGGCGAACCGAACTTGTACTTCTTGAAAGACGGACCACCGAGAGCATTCGTCAGAGAGAAGTTGATGATCGTACCTCACGACACAGTCCCTTACACATCACTCACCGTGGGATGATAGTTTCTCGCCATGATTTTTTTATCAGTCTTGCATGCCTATTTTTCTGCTTAACTCTTTCAACACCAGTCAACCAGAGGCATTTGCTGCCATGACACAGAGTTCCCAGAGACTCTAAGGTCACAGATGAAGCCTATGTTTATGAAGGAAATTATAAGCTTGTAAAACGTTATTGCTACTTCATCTCATACACCATTTATAAGATCTAATACCACTGTTGATAAATATGAAATTTATTTTTATAATGTTATTCAAATAATACAACTACAACTTAAATAGATTTATTTTTGTAATGAAAATGCAAGCTTACATTTATAATGTCCATATAAACCACGAAAGAAGCAAAAGCTATGGCGATTTTTTTCCATTTTTGACATGTCATAACATGCCCGTGCCTTTTTCGTTTATATTTTCATTTTTACGTAATCAGAAAATTATTATAAAAAGATTTCTTAAATAATATGTATGGTCGCCTATTTCCCGATATCAGTGGCTTTCCGCTCGGGAACATGACACAACGGAAAATACCTCCGTTTTCGAAGCTTCGTATGAATAACATGGGAGGCGAATCGTTTGATGTCGGGTATCGTTCGAAAGGTATGGTCGCCTATTTCCCGATATCAGTGGCTTTCCGCTCGGGAACATGACACAACGGAAAATACCTCCGTTTTCGAAGCTTCGTATGAATAACATGGGAGGCGAATCGTTTGATGTCGGGTATCGTTCGAAAGCTCTGAACATCAACAACATCATTGTTCCCTTGCCGAGAGTATTTTCACAGTTTTAAGAAGCGATTTTTGGGGGATAAAGATTGGTTTCTAATGACGCTTTTTGCCACAGTCTGCTATAAGGGTCGTTATTGGTGAAAATCAGACACGTGACCTAAGGCAGCCAATCATATTACGGCAATGGATACCATCCTCTTAAACGAAAACTGTCAGATTTAGAAGAAAGTTATGGGTAAAATAATGCTATTTTGAACATATTAAGCAAGAAATCGCTACCTATACGTAAATTATTGAACTTATTGGACATATCGTGCTAGGTTATGACCTGGGACAAAAATGCTTCATGCATATATGTTCGCATTAAACATCGTGTCCAAGCGTGAAGATTGAGGCGGCGAGAGCCGTGATGTCACTTGTCAGTGACTTGACTTACATTACATGATCGCACAAAAAGATGGAAATGGTAATTTTATATGTACGTTTTGACATCTTTTATGAATGTTGTTGATTTTATTCATTAGTTTATTCTTTTTATTTAATGATTTCCTCGAAACATCGTTACTTTGCTCTTTGACAATGTTATTGTGGACCCACTGCCGAAGCATGTGTCTGAGAATTGTTTTTTTCAATAACATTGCAAAAAATAGTTTATAATTCTAATCCTGTCGATAATATATGGTCATTTGAAACTTAATAAGTGTTTTCAGACATTGTGAAAAGTGATAGATTTGATAAAAGAATCATATGTTAGTTAGGTTCCTAAAATTATATATTAATTTGATGCGACTACTGCCTGGCCGGTTTAGCGGCCTACGGTGTCTGGGGACTCGTGACCTCTTAGCCGGTTTTCCGGGCTACGGTGTTGAATGGGTTAATGTAGCCTGACACCCGTGCACCAAGCTGAGAGATACACACGCAGACGCATACGCACTGCGACTCGTCCGCCATCGGAACCACCCCCGAGGCGACCCGAGCCTTTTTCCCGACCGACCCCCATGCTCACTTAAAAGTCAAATATTTCAGAAACTATTTGACCGATTTTCATCAAATTTTGCATGCACCTCAGTAGTAGTATACACAATGGGGCTACGGGATTAGGGACTCAATTATTATTATTATTTTTTAAATTGAGCTCTTGGGAGGGACCTGGTCCCGCAGCCCCATTGTGTATACTACTGAAGTAGCCTAGGTAGGCCAGAATCTCCCCCTTTTGATATAAGAGCAAGGGTGGGGAAGAAGTAGCCTAGCTAGGCCAGAATCTCCCCCTTTTGATATAAAAACAAGGGTGGAGAAGAAGTAGCCTAGGTGGGCCAGAATCTCCCCCTTTTGATATGAGAACAAGGGTGGGGAAGAAGTGGCCTAGCTAGGCCAGAATCTCCCCACTTTTCATAGTAAACAGAACAAAATATCCTAGTTTAAACAGAGGGGAAGTTTTTTTTTGGGGGGGACTTTAGCCTTGCCCAAACTTTCCCCGGGGTAAGAATATCCTAGGACAAAACCTCCCCTGGGAAAGTTTAGACCGGGGAAGAAATGGACTGCTACACCGGGTTGACACTGACTGGGGTAACAATCTGTGGCGACTGCGGTGTTGTGTCCATACAACCCTAGATTGGGGTTTACAGTCTGTTGTGGGTAGCCTTGGTAGAGCTCCATGATTTTTAGTTGTTCTAGCGATATTTCTTTACCATCTATATCACACCTTTTTTCGGCAATGTAACATCTGTTGGTGAGGTATCTGACGTTTTTTTCTCTTTAGCTGTCTCTCTTTCTTTTTTTGAGTTCTTCATATCATGACTTCTGTAACGCTAATCTGTGCTCATGGTCAAGCAAGCCAAGCCAAGCTAAATGAGAGCGCCATGGAACACGTCTGGTAACCTCGAAGGTCTAGATATTTCCCTGAAGAGTAAGAGGTTGTTGAGAGTGAAGGAAGTCTAGAATGTGGTGTCTATATAAGCATATTGCTTCAGGAGTCTGTTGATGTGGTGTGAAGTCAATATAGGGGATGGAGATTTTTTAGGGCTTTCTCTTCAAGGTCGGTCATGAATATTTCAGTGAGAATAAGTGATAGTGATAAACCCATGGACAGTCCATATATTTGTTCAATGAGGTTAGGCTGATTATGGAGTCAATGGTGGGGTTGGTATCAAAGGGTTCATCAAGGTCGTTGAGTTGTTGTCGCAAGGCAAGGAGGGCTTCTCATGGTACCTTTGTGAACAGGTCTATAACATCATAACTGATAGTTATTCTCCTCATTAAGAACTGCCAACAACACACTTGATGCCTCTACTAAGACTCATTGAAGAGAAACCCTCTGCCACCAATAAGTGAACCTAAGTAAGAAGCAGTTTACCTCATAAACCAGTGTCCCCCAAGATCAATGCAGATCTGTTCATCACCAACATTGATAAGGGGCTGCAGCAACTGGCCCTTTGGGGCAAAGTTGACTACCATATAATACTATCTATAGATAAGCCGACCCCCAAGCTTGACCCTTAAAGTCAGTGTCAAAATGGTATGTTTCGTACATAAGCTGATCCCCCGCGATGGGGTCCTAATCCTGGCAAACACAGACAACTGGCACTTACCTATAATTATAACTTTGGTCCACATTATTCAAAGAATTCACAATCATATTGCGTCTACTACTCACGCATCGAAATGAAGTGTAGTTGACAGAAAATGGATAATATATTTTGTGTTGCTAAATACCATACTTATTGCAGCTGGTCGATCACATGTCAACAAACTGGCTTGCTTATTTTACCCCATTCCACGTACTTACAACTTCCGCTTACCACGTTCGTGAGGGTACGTTTCTCGCTCCAACCACGATAGCCAATTTCACATATTATCAACAATCACGAACTGATTACCGCCTTGTTTTCCATGGACTGCTAGTTTACAGTAACATCGGTAAAAATTTGTGAATTGATCTGACTTGCTTATTATCCCCCGCCGCACGTTTAGCACGAAGTGGGGGATATAGTATTAGGCTCCGTCCGTCCGTACTAATTGGAAGGTCTTAAGAACCGTTGACTGGATGATTCTTTTCATATTTGGTACCTAAGTTCATCACAGTAAAAGAAAGATCCCAGTCAGGTTTGGTGACCTTGACCTTCATTTCAAGGTCACAAGGGGACTTTAACGTTTTACCCTTGTCAGCAAGATATCTAAAGAACCGTTCACCGGATTTTCTTCATATTCAACACCAAGCTTCATCAAGGGAAGGCGCAGGGCCCAGTCGATTTTAGTGACCTTCACTTAATTTTCAAGGTCACGACGACACTTTGAAGACTTCAGCATGTTAACCTGCATGTAAAGATTCTCAGCGCGATATCTCAAAAACCATTCACTGGATTTTCTTCATAGACTTTCAAGACTTCACTTGAATGTTTTTCCAGGGTATAGTGGAGGTTTATTGGAACGTATACCCTGGAGTTATCGAGGATGAGGTGTACATTGATAATGTGAAGGGTGACCTGTATCGGGGAACATTGATTTGATTTGTATTTGGTTAGTAAGATTTCTATTTATTTACCAAGCAACACTGAACAGTCTCTTTGTTTTCACTTTCAACCCATATTGTTTATATTTGAATGTTTTCTACAAAACAAATTATTCATTTCCTTTCATTATTGCCAACAGACTTTTCATTTGGGGTATACTTCTAAATAAAGTACACATTATAAAAATCTCTCTTCTCCTCCTTCCTCCCTCTTCCCATTAGTGTTTGTTTTATTGTCAGCAATCATTGGTCAAATTGTCATGAAAACAAGCATAACTAGTTTATTTTGATTATTGCCTCAGTTTTTCATGTGTAGCATACATTTCTCTTTTGTAGCATACGAAATCCTTATTTGAAAGAAGAAACTTCATGTAAAAGTAAAATATAAAGGATCATGCTCTATAATTTCACTTATGTGATTGTCGTACATTTGGACTGATAACTATTCAGTTATTCAGTTCTACAAAGTGAATAACCTACAAAGTTAATCACTCATTGATCTGTAGTTGCAGATATGCTAATTTCTTGCTTTTGCAACTTTTTACCCCAGAGCTATATGCGTGGTGTTCTGGCAAGGCACACAGCACAGATGTTGCTAGAAGAGAAAAGACTGGAAGAAAAGAGAAGACGTGAAGAAGAACAACAGCTTCTGAGAGTGCAAAAAGTTCAAGCAGATGAGTGCTCCATTCAGAAAACAATCAGGCAAGCATGATTGTCTTTAAATGCAGATGTTTTCTGATGCAAGTTTTCAATACTACAGATGTAGCAGACAAATCTCCTAGTCAAATCTACAATTTGGGTAAATTGGTCATATTTGCTAGTTTTGTCTATTTCCTTTGAGAAACCGTTTACACTAATTTAAGACCAGGGTGCCTAATTCTCGAAAGTGTGCAATGAAAGACAGATCCTAACTAGTTAGGACAGGAGTTAGGACATCCTACCTTTAGGATAAGACCCATTCTCGAAACAATCCTATTCCTGTCCTAACTTGAGCTACCAATCCTAGCTAGGATAGCGAGCTCTTCAGTATGCGAGATAGAAAAATCCCCTAAATATTACCAATGGTTCATTGCATGGAAAACACATATATAAGGGCAACTATATTCTCGTTTACAAGATAAATGGAAAGACTAGAAATCTAAGTAAAGAGCTTGGAAGCGATGAAATTCAGCTTTGGATGGACTTAGTATATCTAGAAGAAATTATGTCAACATTCTGAAACTATTTGACCCATCTTCACCAAATTTGCTATACTGCCTCTCCATATCATGTTGATGTGCCTTTTGGGAGTTTGAGGTATTTTTTCAATTTCATTTGTTTCTGTTTCACTTATTGATCATATTTATGAGAGAGATACAGCATACTGAAGATCTGGGCCCCTATTCTCGAAAGTGTCCCAGCTAAGACAGATCCTAAGTAGTTAAGACAGAAGTTAGGACATCCTACCGTTATGATAAGACCCATTCTTGAAACGATCCTATCCCAGTCCTAACTTGTGCTGCCTATCCTAGCTAGGATAGCGAGCTCTTCAGTAGGTGAGATAGAAAAACCCTCTTTAAGTTGGGGATTCCCCTAAATATTACCCATGATTCATTTAATAAAAAACACATAATATGAGGAAATTCAGCTTTTGATGGACTTAGTAGATCTAGAAGAAATTATTCGATATTTTCATCACAATATATAGTAGTTTTGAAGTTCTTGAAAATTCATTTTTGACAAGGGCGATAACATTTCTACTTCAGAGTTTGAAAGTCTGCCAAAAACAATAAGGATATTAAAGATATGTGCAAAAATATTTTCATTGTATTTGTTTTTATGAAAATCATCATTTGAACTCTCATTATGCATCATCTCACAAACTGAAAAATTCACCTAGGAAATAAACTGGTTCGGAGTTACTTCCCTATCAATTTAGCCTTGACATTGACATTTCACTGGCAACGTGACTGGAAAGAGCAATGTTGTGATTAAAAGGGCCGAGAATAGGTAAGAACTGAACAAATCTCTTTTTAGATCTAAAGAATATGTGCATCGCAACAAGTGTGTCTATTCATTACCGATAAATTGATAATATAAGCTAAAAACTCTTCGTAACACATCAAAACTGTGTGCTCTTGTAAATTCAAATGTAATTTAGGCGAGTATATTTTGTTTGACAACATCAAACTTGGTGAACAAACAAGAACCACACCATGTTGATTTCCACTAAGATAGACTTAGGACAAGTCAGAACATATCCTAGTATTTGTCCTAAGTTAGGATATCCTAGCGCTAGGATACTTTTCGAGAATAAGGTAGGACACCTATCCTAGACCCTAGGATCAAAGTTAGGATATCCTAGGGCTAGGATCCTTTCGAGAATAGGGGCCCTGGTGTTGTTCCATGCAACTACAGTTTTCATGATATCACCTGTCTTGTTCTTGATTAGATTCCAGTGAAAAAGTTACATCCATAACTGAATGTGATAAAATTTGATTTTGATTTTAGCATTTGTTGAAATTTTTATTGACAAGAGACAACTCTTTAACTGAAAAACAACAGATTTATTGATGCATTTCAAAATAGAATCATTTACAAATCTGAATGTTTTGTAAAATATAGCTGTGGAGTTGTTGATAAGCAATTAAGTTCAAGCGAATATATAAATATGAAATGAAGACTTTGCTAACATAATAACATACTGTAAATAATATGTATTTTTATACTTAGAGATTTTGAAATTGATGGAATGAAATTAATTGTTTGAGGTCTCAACGTTGAATTTGGGGAAGGGGGGAGATATCTGTTTTTACTTGTAAAAACACTTTCAAGTTATAATTAATTATAGTTTGAATTAAATTAGATATCTTGTATACAGAAAAATAGAGTGAACTCATACTCAAATAGGTCTAAAATATTTAATGAGATGTTTTAATATGGATTTGTTTGAATTACCATTCTTCCAGAACAACAAAAAATGTTACAATATATTCGATATTTTCATCACTTCATAATAGTTAATGAAGTATTTGAAAATTCATTTATGCAGCAAAGAGATAATTTTTTTGAGAGTTTGAAAGTTTGCCATAAATGCAATAAGATATGTGTAAAAAAATATTTTCATTGTATTTGTTTTGTTTGTTTATGAAAATCATGACTTGAACTCCCATCATGCATCATCTCACAAAGTGAAACTTCACCTATTAAATAAACAGGAGTTACTTCCCTTATCAAGTTGGCCTCGACATAGACATTTCACAGCAATGTGCAATGTTGTGAATAAAAAGAGGGATATATCACTGCATTCTTATAGGCATTCCAATCAAACCTTTTCATATACAGGAATATCGTATTTCTTGAAGTTTCCCTGGTTAATCTCTCCTCATTCTGTAGATATTCCTGAAACTTCTCAGCTGCATCAGGGCCTCTTTATATCATGGGGACAGTTGTTTTTCCACCATGTGGGACAACCACATAACCAAAACCACAAGCTCTGTTATGTTTCTGAATTTCTTACGTAAAACTTTGTTCAGTAGTATGTTACGTATTTCAATCCGTTTTACCAATTCTTAAGGGCTTCATAGTCAGTGTAAATTATGTATGGCACTGGCATTTGTAAGGAATAATTATAAAATTTTAGCATATTCTCATTCTTTGGGGGCATATAAAAAACCTTATAACAGTTTGCCCAACACCTCGGCAGTCTTCTTTGTGAGCTTCTAAAAGATTTTGCCCTCTGTAAGCATGCAGATATATTTTACAGAAATGTTTCTTGTCCTAAAGAGTTGTGTTATAGTATAAATAGTCTGCATAAACCCTTTACCCATGTACAATGAAATTGTCCATTTTTTTAACCAGGAATAAATTTATCATGGGCATGTTTTCTGGAGCAGCGCTTAGTCTGTGCACAACTGTCCATTTAAAATGTCTGATAACATTTTCAGCTAAATTGTGTTGCTTTTCCACCATAGTAATTTTTTAGATTATTGTTGGTGCAAGTATACCTTCAAAGTAGTGTCCATCATTTATGGGATAGCAAGAAGGCCTATTTGCAATTTTAGAATCAAATGGAAATATGGCAGATCTTAATGCCCATCTTCAGTTGTCAATATTTTAACGTTAACTCTGGCATGTTTTTTCTTATAATACAAAGGCAAATCTATGCAAGATCTACCTTTCAAAGGCATTTAATTTGCTATATCCAAATATAAAGCATCAAGTCTACATACCCAGCCTCTATAGGTACGATATCAGCAGATAATGTAATCATTTCAGCTTGTCTCATTCATGAATAACCTCTCAGTCCACTATATCTTGCCTGAGCTTTGAGATCTCTGACAGTAGTCATGTTTTTAACCACATGTGAACAAATCTTGAATTGGTTGTTATAATCAAGTGTAAAGGAATCTCTAAATAGGTTTAAGTTTGAACAGAAAAATAGATAAATAAAATATATTATGAAAATAATTACTGGGCGGTGGGTAAACTTTAATTTTGAGTAATGTTCATCGTTCGTGTACATAATCTATGTTCCTTTCATAAATAAGTTGGCTTCTGACTACATCAGTTGTGTGGGCTTAACATAAACAATTATGGACTTTAACCCTGATGCCACATAGAACATGTAAAGTTAACATGTCCTTTTCTCATTGACCTTGCTACAATATTCACCCATACAACTCGTATTTCAAGTCATGGATTGTCCTTTAAGTACAAATTTACAACAGGCCTTTTCAAACACCTTTGCAATACACATAGATCATTATTAGTCGAAATGGTTGATTAAGTGTTGTCACCCCAATTCGGCTCCTACACCCCTGGCATAAAAAAAACAAACACTATAAATTATGGGGTTGTTGTCATCAATATAGAATGGGAACCAGCTTGTAATGAAAGTATTGTCTTTTCTTTTTATTCATTTGCAGCCATAATTATGATAGAACCATTAAACTCTTTTTCTACTTTCTTTATTCATTGACCTAAGATCCAAAATGTAATATCTTCCAGAATAATACATAAACAATTGATCACTTTTTTTTAATGGTTTGGCTCAATACATATACAAACCTACCAGAATTCTCGCCATTTAATAGTTTAGAGGGGACATGTAATGTCTTATTTTGTTTCCATTGTCATGCACTAAAGTAAACATCAGTCTGAATGGTTTTATAAATATCAAGTAAACAATTTATTATTAATCTGTTACCAGTTCTTTTGTTTTGGCATGGAATAATTGTTGTCTCCCCTGTTCTATGAATTTTTGTCTCATCTTCATTAATGCTACTGAATCTCGTGTTTCCTTATATTGCATTGGTTGAGTTTTGACAACACTATATAAACTTGAAGGGTGCTTCTCAGTGTTCTCACTATATATTAGACATGTCTTCTTTTCCCGGAATAACTGCATTTGAGGTCTTTGTTTGCTCCCCGGTTTTACTTTTGTAAGTAAGACCTCTTCCCAGGTTTTACTTTTTCCTAACTCTATATTAACATCAACATTCAAATTCAGATGATGTGTGAGTGTTTGAAATCAATTGAAAAATATCGTCAAAGATCAACTTTAATGTGCAAATATTTTCCCTAGCAGGAATGGAACCACATCTATCAGGTTGTTAAGCGAACACTCTACCTCACGGCCACCAAGCTGACAAAGAAACCAGGGTTGAATTATCTATTTATAGTTAGGCCTACTGTCATTAAATTGATTTTACTAGCTCTTCAGTTACTGTTATGTAGCTTCATTACATGATCATCTAATTATCCATCATTGACAGTTTATATGTATAATAAAGCGCTCCTCCTCGGTTATGGTTGTCGTGCTTTATCCTACACAAACAAACCTCTTCCACAGATATCTTACTATCATCGACTGCTGCTGAGACATGATCCTCAATGCTGTCTAACTTTGTTCGTCCAGACCACTAATACTATCGTGTTTTAATGCTTTCTTTTGATTCCAGTGAGAAACAAACTTTAGAGCTATTCGTACTGTTCCAGAGATTCCCTATTTCCCTACCAAGTATGATAGGTGCCGAATTTTGTATTTTTTCGCATGATTCAAATAGCATAGGAGCAGATATTTACACATTTGATACTGGAGTTCTGTGAAATGAAGACTGGCTTCTACCCCTAGTACTTCATTATGGCAATCTTTTGGGATGCATGATAAAAATTGAGCATGACAACAGCAAATTTACACTGCAAATGATGCAATGTGTAAACAACTATGGTCACATGCCTGATTTGAATGTATTTAGCTGTAATAATTAATAGGAACCATGGTGAGGTCAAGCCTGATGTAAAGGAAATAAATTACAAACCCTTAATTCCATGCTTTGGTATTGTCTTTTCACTGTATAACTTTGAGGAGTGAGGAGTTTACTCTGACAAAATGCAAAGCTCTCCATCTAACAGCATTCATTTAATGACCCTATTAAGTCTTTGTTTTCTTGCAGGGAATCTCAGGTGGAATTAGAATCCTTGACAACCTTGATTGAGTCCATGTGGACCCACCATCAGCCTGCAGTTACTCCTCACAGTCTTGACCTTGACAGCATGTTTGAATTCCTGCAAGAGGAAAAGGCAGAGCGAAAAGCTGCTGCTGTGGACAAGGAGGAGGCACTACATGAGATTAATGAAGAATTTGATGTGCTGGGTTCTCTCCTTACTGATGCTGAAGTATGGTTGCCTTTATATTCATATGCAGTTGTCAACAATAGTGACCAAATAATTCTTGCAAAACCTGTGTATTTGTATGTTGTGTATTTGTGGCTGTTGTCGCACTAAAACTAAACTTAAAATTTTCAACAGAAGTCCTCTTCACTGTCACCTAAACTTCACTTCTTTGCAAATGTCCATCATTCAGAGACAGGGGAATGAGAAGGAGGGTGTGACCAAGATACTATTACTTGTGCACAGCTAGCTGCAGATAGTTGACAGTAAAGTGGGTTCCTTTTGGAAAATCTAAAGATAAGGTGGATTTATTTGTCATTTGCCTCCACAACAAACAAGCTGTGTCCTTCATTTAAATTAAAGATCCACTAGCTTAGCTCTAACATCAGGAATAATCCCACCAACCTCTACTACAATCTGCAGCTAGATTGTTTGAAAGAAGTATGGTTTACTGCATGAACTCAGACTGTGCCAGAATTCTGCAGATTTTTTGTGGTTTGATGAAATAGAGGTTATGTTTCCTTTTTTGATGGGCATTATCATCATTCTTCAGATTCACCTCTTGGGATTGATGACTGGTTTGAGATTTTTTATGAAAGTGACAAGATCAACGTTGAAAATCTTTAATGAATCTTCTCAGTAACCACGATATGAAGAGAACTGAAGCTGTTTAGGACCAAAATATACTAGCCACTTAAAGAAACTGTGCATTGTCAAAATATTATCCCAGTTGATAAGTACGATAACAGTGTCAAAGGTACATATAAACTTTAATGGAGGGATCATGAGACCATAACAAGTCGGGAGAATTTCAATTGAAAAGTCAATCACAATGATGTCACGAGTCCACAAGCGGGACAGGGGTCAAACGACCATGTCACAAGCTCAATAACGAGTATGTCCACCATCGGCATTGAGAACAGCAGTGCATCGACGACGCATAGAGCCTATCAAACGTGCAAGGAAGGCTTGTGGGATGTCACGCCAGATTCTCTCAAGGTCTGTTGCAAGGTCAAGGACGTTATCTGTCGATCCATCTCGTCCCAAACATGCTCTATCGGGGAGACATCCGGTGAATTTGCAGGCCAAGGCAGTAAGTCAACGTTGTGGTGTTGCAAGAAGTCCATAGCAACCCGTGCCGTATGAGGGCGGGCATTGTCCTGTTGGAATGTTAACCCAGGGCCATGACGTTGCAGAAAAGGAATTGCCACAGGTCGAAGAATCTGATCCCTGTAGCCAACACCAGTTAAGTTGCCCTGAACAATCACCAAAGGAGTTCTTTGGCGTGCTGTTATTCCATCCCAAATCATCCCGGAACCACCACATAAGCGATTCCACTCCAAGACACAGGCCTGTGCATAACGTTCTCCCACGCGTCCATAGGCATGTTGACGTCCATCACTATGGGAAATGTTAAACCTGGACTCATCTGTAAAAACAACATTTCTCCACCAAAACAAGGGTCTGCGGGCATGATTTCGGCATCACATTCGGCGAGCTTGTCCTGGGATGGTTCGGGCAGTCATCACTGCAGTCTGAAACCTGTGGCGAAGATGGGTCACCCTTATCCATCTGTCCTGTCTTGACGTTGTTACATGTGGACGTCCAGAATGTGGCCGATCGATGACGTCATTTGTGTTCTGGTAGCGTCTCACCAGTGCAGAAATGGTGATCCGGTGGCAGTGGAAATGTGCAGCCACTTGTCGTTGAGACATTCCCCCATGGACCATCCCAATGGCCTCATGACGTTGTGCAGACGTGAGCCTTGGCATGCTATGCGTTTCAATAGCCGTTTAATTTTTTGAACGATCGCAAGGGCAGGGGTTGAGCTTTCCAAAGTGACAGTACTGTGTGGCATTCATTTGCTCTGTTTCTCTTTCCCGGAATGCACGTGCAACAACGTATTGCACGTCTCAAGGACGAACCCACTGACGTCACGGAACGTGGCACGTGCATGCATGTTGGATACATGACACTAATCTCTGAGTTTAAATCCTTATGTGTCTACACAGGTTTGATAAATTTAAATTTTAAATTTTTGTATGCACAGTTTCTTTATGTGCCTAGTATATTACATTTTTCCTTATCCTGACTCATGCTTATTGCTTATTCCCCTTCTCCTTTCAACGGTTACGTGGAAACTTGAATCCCTTTCAATTCCCTGAATTGATCGTAATATCACTCACCCACGAGCAGCCTTCCTTTCCCGCCAAAATGGTCCCATGTGACCTGAATCTAGCTCTCATCACCAGAGATAAATCCAGGGAGCGCAATCGCGGGATACATGCAATAGAAAATGGGTTCCCGCACTTCACAAATTTATAGGGGGGAGTGGTTAAGCGAAACAAATGATTGTCCCGCATATTGTGATGTCTTGTGCGCGATGTTTTGTTTACAAATTGGAAAAAATCTAGTCTTGCTTTCCTGTAAACATCCAGTCGTGTCATAGTGCATAAGGGGAGCCAGTGAAATGCATGCTATGTGCCTTTTAACATCGTTATCCAATCACACTTCTTGTTTCAAAATAAAAATCTCGTTTTCTGTTTATGGGGTACAGAAATAAATTATTCAAAACACTTGAGCATGCGTGATTATTACCTTTCTCCATCCTGTTATCGATCGCGTAGCAGACGACCCATGTGGTTTGTTAATGTTAGTCGGTGTCAAGTAAGTTGCAATAGCGGAAAAGAGGAAATCAGTGCGAATTACGGACTTTTTTGTGTGTGTAGCGGTGCAAGTAAGCTGTCGTCAATGAGAATTCACTCTTGGTAGAAAATGAAGAAACTGACAACGAAGAACGCACCGGGATGCCTCTGTCAGAAAGAAAATGGCGATGCCACTGATCATGATTGTGCTACGAAGGAATGAAAGCTTGAACTGAATGATAATTCTGAAATGTTATGTGAACTTTGTGTCAAGTCGTGCAAGAATAATCCTTTCGCTTCTGGGTGTAAAAATTTCAGAACATCGACACTCACACTTCACATTGAATCAAATGACCATGTTCAGTCATTGAAAGATCATGTTCTACGTGCCTGTTTTGAACAAACATCCAACAATGTTGTCAGTAAAATTGCAGAGAAAGAAGCTGCCCTTGTTTGTGCAATGAGAACTATGTTTTACATTGTGAAAGGAAATATTGCATTATGCAATTACCTTAGCATGCTTGCAATGCAAGAAGAAAATGGTGTGGATCTGGATGACTTGAAAGTCGGAGGTAATGCCACATATTGTCGATGGCAACTGCAATGGATTTTGTGGATATATTTGTTGATGTAATTTCCACCAAAATTGATGAAACAATTGGTGCAAGTCATTTTGGAACCATACTCACATACGAAAGTAAAGACATTTGTGTTGAGAAACATATTGGTCATTTATTGCAAAACTGTGGATAAAGAACTCAGCATGAGAACATTCTTTCTAGGTAATCTGAAATTAAATGTGTCAGTGTGACAGCAGAAGTTTTGTTCATTGAACTGACCTACTTTCTGCAGACCAGAGGAATATCATGGTCAAAAGTAATTGGCTTTGGATCTGATGGAGCTTCAATCATGATATGGAAAAAGTCAGGTGTAGCAACACGAATAAAGGCAGTCAACCCTTCTGCATATCTGTACATTGCATTGCCCACAGGCTAAACTTCTGTACTTCCAAAGCTGCTGATGATGTGAAGTACATGAAGGAAACTTTCCAGAAAACCAGATGTTTGATAGGCATTTATAACTCATCAGTGCAGTGTACATGTCACTTAGGACACTCATCACTTATTGCAAGAAACACAGAAAGGACAGTTCCAGTCTGAAGTTGACAGACTTCACCGTCATAGTGACCTCTACATGATGATGGACATCATTCCACAACTAGCAGAACTCAGCTTGGTGTTCCAAAAGGAAGACCTGGATATTGCAGCAATGCATCCAGTCATTGATGGTGTTTATTTAGTTATTGAAACAGCAAAGTTGGGCAAGAGTTACTACCAACAGCTTCTTAATATGTCTCACACTAAGGTGAAGGATGGGAAAATGACAGTGAATGTGTCAAACAGCACTGAAGGGAAAACTGTTAAGGCTGCCAAAGAAGAGTTTGTAAAGAGCAGAGATGATTTTCTGTGGAAGTTGGTTGAACAGTTAAAAAAGAGGTTTCCACAACAGACTGACTGACTGAGTTTAGTTTTACGCCGCTTTTAGCAATATTCCAGCAATATCACGACGGGGGACACCAGAAATGGGCTTAACACATTGTGCCCATGTGGGGAATCGAACCCGGGTCTTCGGCGTGACGAGCCAACGCTTTAACCACTAGGCTACCCCACCGCCCCTCCACAACAGAGCAGCCATGTTGCAACATCATTCGATATTCTTGGCCTCATATCCATCACTTTTCTTTCTCAAGAAGAATTACAGTCCTATGGCCTGAAAGAACTTGACATACTTCTTTATCACTTTGGCAAGACCAAGGAGGAACTTCAACAGATGTCTGCAGACAGTCAGCTGATCCCATTACAATGTGTTGATTCAGAAAACACCAGGGCAGAGTGGGCCATTGTGAAAGGGAGTGTTATCCAGAACAGATATCCAAGAGACAAAACAGTTATGTTGTGGAAGATTATCAAAGAGAATCATGGTGACCTGTTTCCAAATTTGATAAAGTTGGTACAGTTATCACTGCATATGCCACTACAGACAGCTGACTGCGAAAGAGGCTTTAGTTGTCTCAACCACATTCATACAAACATCAGAAATAAACTTGATTGTTACTAGTGTTACAGTTTGACTATGCCCTCACTCTTACAGAGACGGCAACTCAATCAACTTCCAAGAGGAAGTGGGGCGGTGGGGTAGCCTAGTGGTTAAAGCTTTCGCTCGTCACACTGAAGACCCGAGCTTCTAGATTGTCCCAGAAATCGTCATCAGCGAGTTCTACGTCATCTACACATTCTACTAGATCAGAGAGGCCTATGAATGCACATACATCGTTCGGGAATGCCTATCATATCTAGACAGTTCACCACCGGTTCTCGAACCGCAGATCAGCTTGACAATTTCATAGAAAATGTCTTCACAGAACACTAGTACCCCTGCAGGGTGCGCGAACCCCAGTTTGCAGAAGCATTCATCCAAGAAGTCGTCATCTAAGAGAAAACATTCGTCTCATCGCAGATCTACGATGTCAGGGTCCAAGAACCCTTCTAGTGACAATCAGCACACTTTGCCGCAGGCTACTTGCTCCACTGTTGTGTCTACACAGTTCACAAATGTGTCCGCAAACAATCTACTTTGGCTCTACTGTCGCTGAGAGAATTAACATCTGAAGAAGAGTTCATGAACTCTCATAAACGGAGATCATCATCTCATTGTCGTCATCAGCGAAGTATGTCGACTACATCGCAGTCTTGCGAGAACCCATCGAAATCGACGAACCCGTCTATGGACCAGGATCTTGTGGCTAGTGTCACACGACAAGTAGTCTTAGCTATGCAACAACTACATTCAGCAGAGGATCAACAGTCGACTCCTACTGCATCTATCAGAGATTCCCGCCCATGATGAAGCACAAGCTTCAGATACAAGAGTCCATGAACTAGACGACTCAACTATCTACCCGGACTCTGATATTTTGTCTTGGATAGCGGATGGCATACCAATATCTTCGCCAACACATAACTCGAACTCGGCTGAGACATTGTCGCATAGTGGACAAGGATTTAGACATGCTGACAATCCCACCAATAAAGCTGATATCTCAAGTTTCGTCGAACCTCAAGTCAGCATTCAGGAATGCTACTAGACATCAAGATCAACATATACCAGCGTTTAACGCAAGGAAATTTCCTCTACATAGTATGGACCCTTTCTTCAGAGCGCCAGAGATTGACAATGATTTTGATACCATCAGCAACTTCAAGTCTCATAGCTATAAGGTGGAGGATGGGAAGTTGGCTAACCTAGACACTACTACTAGACGTTACGTTCTTTGGACTAACTAGATCTCAAACTATCAACAAAGCTTTAATCAACAACTTCCAGAATCCGAAAACGGAGACAGAGAGGATGATATTGTCAACACTCATCACGCAAAAGAAAGATCAGGAGTTTATGTCCAATCACCTGGCATCTACATCGGCATGCTTGACCTTATTTCGTTGACAAGGTCTCCTTTCATCTTGCAACTGGCCAGACTATCATATTATGTCTCTATTACATCAACCTTGGGCAGCACCTTCACTATTTGATGGCAGCATAAGACCAGTGTCTCGAGAAGTATGCCAGGACAACAGAGATCAGATGCTCATCAGATCCATGCAGATCATGAACAACATGTATGGTAATCGTCACGTCAAGGACAATTCCATTCGATATTCCCAGGCATACAGAAAGCCAAGGATAAGAAGGCTTCAGGCTTTCAAGGAGGCAAATCAGGGAATTTTTGTCGACCATACAACAACTCAAGAGGATGCTCCGGGAGAGGCCGTTCTTCAGGAGGCTCCAGCTCCTCTCGTCTGTGAAAATCATGTTCGGACTGACTGGGTAAGGAGACATATAGTCTACTACTGGGAAAATTGGAGAATCCTACAAAACGAATATGTTCTAGAGGTGTTACGCAAAGGCTATGAGATACAGCTCAAGGCGACACCACCTCTCACTGTCACAGCACTAGTGCATCATTACCCAGAGCTTCAACGCATCAAACTGAAGGAAGCCATCGAATCACTACTTGTAAAGAATGCCGTAGAGATCTAGATCAACGCAGTCTCACACCAGGATTCTACTCTCGAATTTTCCTAGTACCGAAAAAGAACTCCAAGGAGAAGTGCTGCCTCGTTTACAACATGAAGTGCTTCAACCTAGACTATCTACTAAAACCAGACAAATTCAAGATTCTCCATCTACCACAGTTGCGACATCTAATCAGACCCAACGATTATCTAGCCAGCAGGGATCTTCAAGAGGCCTATCTGCACATCCCTATACATCCGGACTCGAGGGAATATCTTCGATTCCTATACCAAGGACAACATTACCAGTGGAGGGTACTCCCCTTTGGAATTTTCTCGGCCCCGTGGCTATTTACATGTGTAACAATACCTATAGTGGTGTTTCAACATCAGAGAGGATTTCGCAGTGCCTTCTACCTAGACAACGGCATACAGGCACATCAACTAGCAGAGCAACTCACACGTCAGCTAGATTTTACGATCCAATTGCTAACACAACTGGGATGGTTAGTCAATCGGATGAAATCGGAACTACAACCATCGCAGGAACTGCAATTCCTCGGAATCAAGTTTCTCACCACAAAGAACCATCGTAGTTCCAGAGGAACGGTGGGAGAACATACAGACTTGTCTTCACACAGCCTTGAACGAACCTCTACCGATAAGAGATTAGCAGAAACTGTTGGGTCTCCTCATGTTGGCGCAGTCCCTAACACAGGGGAAGGCTACAATTATGTCCGATTCAACGCTAACATCTCATCTAGACAGCTGATACCCATTCCTCAGCATCTGAAGGAATATCTACTTTGGTGGACAAACAAGTCAAAGAGGTTGCATCAGGAGTTTGGTCACCAAACGAAAGGAGTCTGTACATAAATCAACTAGAATTCAAGGCAGTTATCGAGGCACTTCAACATTGGGCACATGTACTGAGAAATCAAGTCCTCATGATCCACAAAGACAACTCGACAGTAGCGTTTTACATAAACCTACAAGGCTCAACAAGATCAGCGCCTCTACTGCAACAGACTTTTCAACTATTCAACCTAGTGGACCACCAAACTTACGGATAAAAGCTTGCCACATTCCGGGAGTGAAAAACGTCTTAGCAGACGCCTTATCCAGACCATTCTGACCATCTCCTATGGAATGAATGTTACATCCGGAAGCATTCCAACTGATAATGAGAATTCAAGGTCATAGATCTGTTTGCGTCACGCTTCAGTCATCATATTGCAACGTTTGTCTCACCAGTACCAGATCCACAAGCTTGGGCGCTTGACGCTCTCACCATGTCATGGCAAAGACTAAATGCTTACGCATTTCCACCACCGATACTACTAAGTCAGGTACTGCACAAGATCGCCCAGACCAAAGTCCTACAAGTGTCTTTGGTGACGCCCGATCGGCCAGCGAGAACATGGTTTCTAGACCTCATACAACTCATAGGAGAGTCTACCAGATTGGCAGAATTTACTGATCCGTTCTCACACAAAACAACCTCACAGCAACCCAACAGGACTCCGGCTACATGCATGGCGCGTATTACGCACAGTCTCGGGAAAAGGGGATATTCTACCGGAGCTGCGAAGGCAGTTACATTGATCTTGAGACGTTCTTCTCTGAACCTCTATGATGATAAATGGAAAAACTTTGATCAGTTTGCTACATGCAAGAGATTTTCGGCTTTGAAAGCTATACATCCTCAAGTAGCAGAATATCTATGTCATCTGAAATCAACTAAACGCTTGAGAGGATCTACACTTTCAACATTATTGGCGGCGATCAGCTAAGTTATCACAGGCGTTAAACTCACCAAAGTACTTGAACTCGTTGCTCTAATGAGATCATTTAAACTAGAGGATCAACAGCAGAAATTTAGAGCCCCAGCATGGAATCTCAACATAGCGCTACAACATCTCACCAGCGATGACTACAAACCTCTAAGAAAGACAACTTTTGAGTGATTTACTCAGAAAATGATATTTCTCCTCGCCTTAGCTACAGCAGCATGGATGTCTGAAATACATGCTCTCGACTTTGGGCAAACGAGATTCGACACAGAACATGCTGCAGTCCACCTGGGACTAAGATGGGACTTTATAGCTAAGAATCAACTACCTGGTCAACCAGATCATCAATTTCACGTACCAGCATTGTCATCAGTCCTCGGACATTGAGGCACAGAGGATTTGTCCCTATGCCCAGTTAGAGCTTTAAAAACCTGCTTAGAATAGACTGCTACAAGAAGGACAAAACTTAAACGTCTTTTCATTCCACTCTCCGCCACGATCTCATTCTGGATCAGAGCTGTCATTCTACGAGCTTACAAAGCAGCAGGACTGGCTCTACCTAGAGCATCTAACCCACTTGAAGTTAGAGCATTAGTGTCAACACTCACACTACATGGGAATTACTCATTATCATCTATCATGGAAAGCTGCTTTTGGAAATCTGACTGTGTTTGCTAACCACTATCTTCAAGACATTGCTACAAAGGACATATCAAGCATTCACCAGTTCGGTCCACTTGTAGTGGCACAACAACTCACGATTCCAGCCAGACATTGAGAAACTCACCCTGATCATGCTGACTCCTTGACACTAGGCAACTGACCCATTGCCACCAGCAGGGAGTCCATGTTCCCCTGTCTTACTTGATAAGTCAGCACATGAATGATATAAACCCAGATGAGTAATAGTCCTTACTTAACTTATGGGTTGCGATTCAGTTTCGGTAATAGTCCTTATCTTAACATATGAATCGTTCTAAGATAACTAGACGTTGAAGAGTACTAGATTATCTAAAATCCACAAAATCTATAAGTTTTACTTCTTTTAATGAGTTAAGAAAAGGTGGTCCCCCAAATACGACATTTAGACAACTAGGAATCCTCAAGAAGAGTTCCCAGAGGGTATGCGATCAGACTGTATCAATTGACAGCCACAGTGAATTCCTTTAGGTGGCTGACGCACCACTTATTTTGTCAGATTTGGTAAGCAATAAGTATGAGTCAGGATAAGGAAAAATATGTAAGTTTTATGATAAAATTGATATTTTATACTTATTTTGACTCATGATCTAAAGCCCTCCCAACTGTCCCCTCTCAGCATTACGGGCTTCACTGTGAGGTGTAATGTGGGCTTATTTCAGAGAGAGTGATGAGAGCTTGACTCACATCATGTGGGACCGTTTTAGTAGGAAAAGGGGGGCTACTCGAGTGATATAACGATCGCTTCAGGGAATTGAAAAGGATTCAAGTTTCCACTTATCCGTCGAAGGGAGAAGGGGAGATAGGCAATAAGCATGAGTCAGGATAAGTATAAAATATCAATTGTATCATAAAAATTACATTTTAATTTCTTCTTGGCTGGGATTTTAAATATTGAGTGTGAAAAACAAAATTGTGAAGGATCTTTAAATGTAACATCAAATCTCAGACTTCAAGTCAGTAAAATGATAAAAAAAGTTGACTAAAAATAAAAACCACTTTGAAAATCTTACAGTAACTTCTCTTCAGAACCACTAGTCACCTAGAGCTGAAGCTTTTTGAAGATGTGTGGGACCATGATATGAGCATGAATGCTGGAATTAGGAAAGCGAGTTCAAATTTTTCAGGCATTATATAACCAGGGAGCTAATCTTTTGGAATCAGCTTCACCCAATTCAGTGATGATTTTTATGTTTCTGAGATTATGTTTTCCTCTTATATCAGACTGACCACATATACAACTACTAATTTGGTTTCACTGCAATCAACATTCACCCAATAAAACGCAAATATTATGGATGACAACTCGTCTGTATATTATGGATTACTACTCACTCCATTGACTGGCAACAATCAACCATATTAACCACTAATGTGCAATGATTGGCGCAATCGCAAACTATTAGAGTCTTTAACGATAAGACAGTTACAACCGCAGCTGAACAGAGATCAAGGAGTGTACCTCCCCAGTGTCTGGAAAGTCAGTTAGCTCATTATTGGCTTCTACCCACATCTGCTAATCACTTGTATAAACTCTTCTCTTGTATAAACAATGCCCATCATCTGTACATCTCACACTTTCATCTCCCATTTCTTATCCAATTTATTGTATATACATGCAACACTGGCTTCTTGTACATTTAGTATATATACTCATTGATGTATCTCGCTGGTTACAATTCACCTGACGAAGGGGCAAGGAATAGCCCAGAAACGTTGTGATATACCATAAAGAAGAAGTTGTCATCCATAATATTTGCGTTTTTACTTGAACACCAACTTCTAAATGCCTCTCAAGAACCTCAACATTCACCCAATCTCAGAAATTTTAGCTCTTCTACTCCAATATGATACTCCTTATTGTTTTGCATTTGAAATCCATCGGTTATATTCATTTTTTAGATGATAGGGTCAAGCGATGCTTGTTTGAATATGCTGAGCTGAATACTCATACTGAGAAGTTAGATGCCACAGTTCAGAGTAGAAAGCTCATATGACAAGCTGTCCTCAGTTACACATGCAGATATATACATTGGCTCTATTTAAAGTAATTTATCTGATTTTATGGGGATTAAACATTTGACGTACTTTAAATGTACCTTATGACTGACAGTGCAATTTTTTAGTGTTTTCATAAGGCACAAACTTTGCTGATTATTCATGGATGGAGGGGTAGCCCCGTGGTTATAGCGTTCGCTAGTCAAGCTGAAAGCGGCGTAAAATCCAACTGACTCACTTCACTGATTATACTTTATTTAGAATGTAATAAATCTAAACACTGTAGCTGATGAAAAGGCATCGTTAAAGTATTTTGTTTCATGTTTCCCATTATTCTCTATTTCATACTGAAAATTGATACTGATAACATGTATTCTAAATAACTGTCACTTTAGTTTAAAAGACTAGTACTGTTATTTTTGCATACCAAGCAGAACCTGGATGCCATCTGTCTTATAACCATGAGTAATATTTTCTTTGAACTTCTATTTTGCAGGAGTCATCAGAGAAGTTACTACATGACCATGAAATCCAACAAGCACTGGCTGAGGTGGATAAATCTATTGCTGAATTTGATGACAGCAGATCACCACATGAGAAAAAAGGATTATGTGTTGAGAGATGACAGAAATGAATTGCCACCTTTGCCACCTCCACCACCAACTCTACCGTGTACAAATGAAGAAACAGCCTCCTTTACATGTCCTTCAGTGTGCATGCCCCCACCCCATCAATACCCCCACCCCCAGCTCCACCCCTACCTCCACCTTCAATTTCTGAGGATCACAGACTTCAACAGCTACCAGCTCCACCACAATCATGTTATCAAACAGATGAGCTGCTCCTTGCCCAAACTGATGGAAATGAAAGTGGTTGGAAGACAGATATAGATGGGTCAAGTGTTTATCAAGAAATCGGTCATGGTGACTCAGGTCAGCTTAGTTTATCGAATCCACCACCACCACCACCACCACCACCTCCTCGAAGAGGATCAACATTGACGTCAGTTTCCCCGACACATGAAACAGAAGAAATGACTTTGTCGTTTCAAATGAATTTTACTGAGTATGAATCTCATGGTAATGAAGTAACTGAACTTTCTCCTGATACAGAAGAAAAACTTTCTCAGCTTATGGAACAACATTCTGTAGACACCAGTAGCCCACAGACCACTGATACTTTAGACAAACACAACTCGAGTGCAGAGATTGACACTATTCATGATATTTTGGAGTTTGCTGGGAAGTACTTCAATTCACACATAAAAGATAGTGGGGGAACACTTATGAAGAGTTTGAAGAAACGAAGACAGTCAGATGCAGTAAGTATGTCATATCTACTAAGGACATTTTTAACTCACTTGACACCTATGTTATCAGGCCCTAGAAAAACATTTATTTCTTCTATGACAAAAATACTTCTGAAATGTTTTGTCTCATTTGCTAAATGAAGAAACCTGTTCAGGCATATTCTGTGGAAAGGACGACTGTTCTTTTTTGTAATGCTGTTTATTTGCAGATAATGCACATATGGTAATCATTGTCTTTGACATGAATTGCCGAGTGTCCATCTGGTAATATTCAATCTGAAAAGGACCATATCTATTTTTAAAGCAAATAATGATTTCGAATCTCTTTAAAAAATGCTTAATATGTATTTACAGCGAAAATGAAACTTGGCAACAAACAGATAAATAATAAGATGTTTGATTGGGATTTTAGGAGATGCTATTTGAGGTCTTCTGGGTTTCATCTTCTTTTTATTGTTTGGTACAACGTTTCAGGGGCCGTATTTATAATAATTCTAGGAATTAAAAGTTACTCCTAAGTGTAGACAATACTGAGAATTTTGTGAGAGTATCTCTTAAGTTTGGGAATATTCTGAAGACCTAGTTATAAAGCCTCTTTACTCCTAAGAGTACTCTCAGAGTGAGCAAATGTTAGGAGTCCTTAAGTCGACCTAAGAAATTTCTTAACTCAACAAAATGGCGGCCCCTAGACACCGCAGCCGTCACCTCAGACTTTCTCAAGAACGTAGGACGTTTTAACTTTTTACAATGACAATGAGTTGGTCAAAAGATTCAGTTTAGATCGAGGGGGAATCATATTTTTGACAGATTTAGTGAGAGAATCTTAGCATTCACCCACGGAAAGAAACTACGCTATAGCACTTGAACTGAAAATTGACATCACCTTATGCTATTTAGCAACAGGTAGAAAGCAAATGTGCAATGGAGATGACTTGGGACTGTCGGTCTACTATCAGCTGTGTCATCAATGATACATTGAATGCCTTGACATCGCCATCTATCGTGAAGCAGTTCATAAAATTCCCAGTTTATGTACGTGAAATAAAAAGAAAACAAACAGCGTTCATGAACATAGCAGGTTTCCTAGGCGTCATTGGTGTCATTGACGGTACACACCGTGAGATCATAAGGCAGAATACGTGAACCGAAAACACTATCACAGCATCAACACACAAAATGCTGATTATTACATTTTGGATGTGATCGCGAAGTGGCCTGGTTCTACCCATGACGCATATTAAATGAGAGTGGTCTGAAAGTGCTGTTTGAGAAGAACTACATGCCCACAAGTTGACATCTACTCGGAGACAGTGGCTACCCCTGCAAACGCTGGTTACTAACACCATATTTGAGACCTCTACCTGGCCCCCAGACAGATTACAACAGGTATGATATGTTTCCTTGTTTTGTTTACCTCGTGATCTACAAACGATAGATAAGTGTGCTCAAAACAACCATTATGACGAATTTGCACACATATAAACTACATTTTATCTACCCACAGAGAGTTTTGACGGATATGCACACATATTCAGCCTGTCAAAACAAGGGCACAGTCTACAACATCCCCTTTAACTTAATTGGTTAGAGTAATTTCCCTTTAATTGTGGGTTTCTACTAAAATCATGCAGGACAATCCCAGAAATAAGATCATTATTCCTTGCATGTTAATCAAATTGTAACACAAGTTGTTATCACTTCACCCTGTATCATCACAAAAGTATACATGACTTCACTGCCATGCAGTTATGAACAAATCTTCCTCCTTTTTTTGAAATATATGACTTCACTGGAATCCAGTAATCAATATGTATATTTTTAAATACAAACCTTTACTCCCATCGGGTTGTCTCCCATTAGTTACACAGTTTGAAATTGCCAATTGTTACACAGTCAGATTAGAACAATACTCTCGGCCTTAATAGACTTTTCCATACTGATGAGCTGAAGGAATACCACCCAAGCCAACTCCCTTCATACAATTAACATGTTACTCCACTCAATGCGAGATTGTCTCTTTCATTACCTTTAGATACAAATTACATACAACACAAAACTCTTTACTCTTTACAATTTTTCCATGCTCCAATATCACAATATATATTTATACTGTGTGCAGAGATACTAGCAAATATGATCAGAAGTAGTGTAAATATACATGGTATACAAATGGGAAAAAATCTATCTCTTCTCGCCCAATAGACCGATCCAGTCCTGGCCGATAAGCCCCGCCCACTTCGTTTTTGACGTTATTGGGGGACAACCACAGACTAATCACAATGGTGTCACCGCCAGCGAAACGTATGTGATTGCGAATGTGGTTGATGAATTCTGTTTGTTGTACTGTGGTATCCGTCATTTGTGAATGATATTTAAAAAGGAAAGTTATACGTATTTTGTTTTCAATATATTTTAGTTGACAGGTTGAATAATTGGCGAGTTAATTGTATACATGTAGTTAGATCTACATGCCTGATGAAAAATCGTCTCAGCCAGCTGCTGAGATTGGGAAGCGTATCTATCCGGAAATTCACGTTCGTCTAAGATATTAGCAGGGGAAAGGTAACTGAATTATGTTGTTTGTTGTTTATTCTCAAAAATTCCCATCGTAATATTATAAAAACCGTGAACACAACCACATGTTCAAGTTGCAGATTGTTTCGGTATCTATAAATAGATTGTCAAAACTGCGCATGCCACCTTTATTTATTTATCCGTTGTTCAAAGTTAGTTAAATTAGTAGTTTGTGAAAACACGGGTTTCTACCTTTCAAGGAACAAAGCAGGAAAACAGTATCCCGTCGACTACTTCGTCCACCTTGTTTGTCTGTATATATAATCTGGAAAACGTTACTGGACCTGTTGACACAGTATGTTTCCATGGATGTATCTGGACATACCCTTGTTTGTCTGTATATATAATCTGGAAAACGTTACTGGACCTGTTGACACAGTATGTTTCCATGGATGTATCTGGACATACCCAGAAGCAAATACTCAGCAGCTATTCTCAGTAAAATTTCTCTCTTCAAAATCTGTACACCATCCTAAAATGACACTGAATATAAGGAAATCCATTTTTTTAATAATCCTTTCCAATTTATTTTTCTATGTGTACTTTGTTGTGGAATCCTAATCTGCAAACCTCCACTTATATAATGGACTTCATGAACTGCCAGCATTTATCTACAGGTATGTCACACCACCATAAACACAAAGAATCCAAGATACAGTCTGCACCTGTACACTGACACATCTTCCATAAATAGGAGACGTGTGATGCAAAATATTTGAACAGAGGATCCACAGTTATCCGAACAATTAACTAGCATTGAAATAGAATGTTAAACAACATACAAATATACTGCTTTTTCTTCAGATATATTTAACTGCTAACTACTAATGTAAATAAGAGGCAAAGAATATATTCAAAGTTTAAAGCTTTTTGTCTATAAATTACATCGCTTCGGAGGCATCGTTTGACCCCGGAAATAAGTCTGACTAATCCACACAGCGCGCCCGGACTGCTGATTGGCCAAAATTGACGCATGCGCCAGTTTTGATTGACAGACTGGATCGGTCTATTGCAGATGATACTACACTAACTCAAGAAGGGTCAGAAAAAAAGCTTCTACGCAACAATGAACATTTGATCTTCTTTTGCAATATTTTCTGGATTAAAAATTAATGCTGAAAAAACAAAACTTATTTGGATGGGGTCAAAAAAGAGAACAATATATAAGCTCTGTAAAGAGTGGAAAATGGACTGGTCAGACTCAGTTTAAACTACTTGGTATAGAATTTGATGTTGGTTTACATAATATGACAAAATTGAATTATAACAAAAAAGTTTTAGAAACTTGAAAAAGAAATGGCAGTGTGGACGAAAAGAACCCAAACACCCTTGGAAGGATAAAACTGATAAAATAGATTTGAATGTACTTTATTTAGCAGATTCCATTTATATTATAGAAGATTACTCCTCGCATTCATAATAGGTTTTGGAAGGAGGTACTCTCCTCATGGTCAGCATACTTGTACTGCTGTGATAACGGTGAAAACAGAAGTGATGAAGAGATAATGTTAAAATCTATTTGGTACAACAATGCTATTAGAATTTGGAGTGAAACTATTTATATACAGCAATGTATGCAGAATATACAAAGTATGCAAGAAAGTGACAGGGAATATACGCGATGATTACTGAAAACTAGAACATATACATTTGATAAATGTAGATAGGTGTTTGTTTAAGGTTTGTACTTGATATCAATTTTTTTTCATATGTATAGAGGTTAGAGAAGGAACAAGAGCTATCTTCCAGGTGAGAGATGCGTTGTTGGCTAAAATATGAACATCTAAAGATATAATGGAATTCATCCCCAGTTAACTACGAGTTACAAAGGTTACATACTCTTTCGTTTCATGCAAGATTCGTCAATCTCCCACTTTCCATTGGCAATTTGTGGTTAGATGTTTTAAAATATAGAATAGGTTTCCAAACATTTTCAGATAACAGTAAGTATTTGTCGAGTGAAAGTGAGTTTTTAAAAAATCTTATAATATTGTCCTTTAGATGAATTATTCATTTCACTGGTCCACGGTTGTGAAAACTGGTCTTTCAGGATTGATTCAGATTTTGATATGGTCCAGGATTGAGTATAATGAAAGGGGTTTACAAATACAGCCGCATTTACAAACTCTATATGTTTCACATGATTTAGCCAGGGAGCATCATCCATAATATAATCTAGAATTAAAGCTGCTATTTTGTTGTTTGGATGAGAAAATTTCAATTTGCACAAATAAGTAATTAATCGTTTAGAGATTTGGAGCTGAATATGTTGTCTTCCAAGTTCTCCATAAACCATTAAGTTCGGGGTTTTATATCTAAGACCGGTAGCTAATTTAAGGAATTTAAAATGAACATGTTCAATGACATCACAATACCAGAAAGAGACTGTCCCTAGATTAAGATTAATCTAACTGAATAATCTTACAATAACCTAAAAG